CGGTTGCCGTTACAGCATGTAACACTTCACCATCATGTTTTTAGAGAATGGGTCACACCAAAGTCTGTGCCACAGCACTGGAGGACGCTCTGCAGCCAACACAAAGGTCTGTAAAGTGCCACTAAGCAGAGCCCGATGCTCGCAGGTCACATTCCAGGCTAGCCCCACAATCTTCTATTCCAGTGGGGTCAGGGTGCGGCCTTCAAAGCTGATCTAGATAGCTGCTGGCTATAGACAAATCAAGCAGTATTTTTGAAGTCTTGGTTGAAAATAAATATCTGCAGTATACTAAGTATCTTGATAAAAACTTTAAAAAAAATGAAAATGAAAAAATAGGAATAAAATTGCTAGCAAAAATATAGTTCAACTTAAAAAATTGTTTTCATTTAAAGACCTTAATACCACGCCATTGTAAAAAAAAAGGGCACGTTGGCGGATGCAAATTTCTGGATTTTATAAACAACCTTCTGTTTACAGCTTGACTGCATGCCTGGCACATGCACAATGTCTATTATCTGCATTTAGAAAGAGTGTAGAACATAAGGCCCAGAGCCTTGGCTCTGTGCCAATTAGAGTGGCTCTGGGCCTTGTGGTCACTGTGAACCAATCACAAATGTTACAGCAGTAAACACAGGTAGTAAAAATTGCAAGCCCTCCCCTTCCTCTGTCTGATGAGGTGGTATGTACATTTCTACTCATTTACAAAGATCTTTTTGTCTTTTGCCATAAAAGCATTGTGCATTTTCAGTAATAATTGTGCACAAGTGTAATCAAATGACTGTATAAAATATCTAGCACGGTCTCCAGCTCTTTGAGTTTAAAAGGAGAACTATGGGGTCGGGGCTTTTCCCCATAGTTCTCCTAAGGGTCACGGGAGGACACAAACTAGCGTACTCCGTCACCCTAAGCTCAGTATACCGCGAGCTACAGCTTGCGGTATACTTATACCCCGCAGCCCGGACCGATCCCGACATTACTGTCTGGATCCACCCAGCTGCGTGAGTGACAGCTGGCTCTGCCTATCTAGAGGCAGAGCCAGCTGTACCCGGCCCCTCCCCCTCCGCCAGTCATCGCTGGAGGATCGGACAGGGGAGGGGGGAATCCCTGCAGGGAGCCGTGAGTCAAGATCGAAAAGTGAGTGAGCAACGGTATGTGTTCGCTCACTTCCCGATCTATTGAGCCGACCTGTGACAGTTTCATTGTCATAGGTCAGCTAGAACTATGAGGCTGAGTGATTTTGACTCGCCTCATAGTTCTCCTTTAACAACCTCAATACCAGCGCGTTTCATAATTTTTGAAACAATTGTGGCAAAAATCGGATCAATATGAGGCGTCTACTTTCCAGAAAAGGGTCATTATGGGAGCGTTTGTACTGTCCTGGCATTTCTTATATGTTTTAATAACAGAAAGTATTCCAAAATGTTTGGTCTTTTTCCTTTATATAATAAACAAATGAAAGCTCTATAGGTCTCATTTAGGTTACATGACCAAGTAATTGTCAAACTATGACAGCACTGAAAACTTAAAATGGCCTGATAATGAAGGGAAATAAACAGGCGAGTGAGTACTCAAGTGGTTAAACATGTCCATTTCATCTAGCTATGATCTCGTGATGCCAAGATATACCAGTGGTAAGATGTCAGTGCCAACAAAACAAAGAACAAATTCAGAGTTGCTAATTACATACTTTAAAGAATAGTAAAAAGTACCCAGCTGTGCACTATTATTTATTACACACATGAAAAACAATGCATGACTTTATATACAATACAAAGAAATGGGCAATGTTTTAACTGAAATAGGAGTTTATAAAGTACTCCTATAATTTTCAGTTAATTGGAGGGTTAGTGACCATTTCCTGTCTGGTATTTTATAACAACCTGAACTGTTTAAAGAATTCTTCCAGAGTGAAAGAACTGTACGCCAATAAAACCTTACTGTAGACTTCCTGTCCCAGTTGCAAATGATGGGAAAATCTTCAAGATGGTGACAGACAGCAACTTAACAGTGAAGAAAATGCACCTATTTAAAGCAAAGAAATCAGCAAGCCTGGGCATTGGCCCGCTTGGAACCTAGGGGGTAAGGATATGCCAATAAGTAAAGGTTGATGACTGCATAATTACTTCAGGAACATCCTGCTGAAGCATTCTCTGAGCATGCCATCAGATACCACAACAGGTTTACTTTTAAGGGAACACAAGAGTCAACTAAAACTTAAAACTAAACATCTTGCCTAACAGCTCATTTGGTTTCAGCTTCTTACTAGGGTCCTTACTTCCTTGGCTTTGGCCACCCTGCTTTCAAATGAGAGCAATTTAGTACCCATTAAGGTCACTCTTACTTGACAGAGTAAGTTTGGATTTTGGGTTGCCTACTCTTAGACAAGATGTCTATTTTTTAGAAGTTCAAAAAGGTTGACAGGTCACTTCTGTTCTTAAAGGTTACTTAAAGTACCCTTGAAGAACCGAAAAAGAGCTCCTATTACTGATTGTTTTTGTTCCAGGGTTGTTCTGTTTGTTTGAGAAGACACTTCCACAGAACCATACTATAACTCAGCAGGCGTGAACCAGTGAAAAAAAGCTCTCCTCCCATGCATTGCATTTTTTCACAACTAATATGCATATCCTGAGATTTGAATTGTCATTATGCAGATCTAGAACAACCCAGAACAGAGAAACAACAAGTAGCCCGTTATTTGTTTTATATTTTCTTTCCACGTCTTTTTTTTATGTGGGTATTAAACATTGTAGTTAACATGGCACAATTGAATTCCTAAATCAATAGATTTAAAATGGGAGCTTTCATTTTTTTTGTCAGGCATGTGATTCCTCTGGGATAGTAGTGCTAGAAAATGAACTTCACTTATTCTTATTATGCGAGTTAAATGGAAACGTGTAGCCATATAGAGCTTTGAATAGAAATGTGTTCCATTCTTTACAGCAGAAGTTCAGACTCCTGAAATTGACCTTTTGTGTATACGTGTAGAAAAAGGAATAATATGTCATCTGACAATACAACTTAAAAGGAGTCATATTGTTTAACATCCCTTGCAATACCATCACTGAAATGCCCTTGAAGATGATATTCAAAAGAATCTATAAAACTTAGTGTTGCCTGATGCTGCCATAATGCTGCATAGATAAGTGACGCACAAAAAGTTTAAACTACAAACAGGGATTTTCACATAGTGCAGTAAACACCCTGAAACCCACTGCGGTATGTACTAAACACCTTGATGCTCTCCCCAACATATATGGCCTTCCCCAAACTGTGGCTTTGTTTATGTCCCACGCATCACTTTCTAATCTTTGCTGGCTACACATGCCCATTAATATTTAAAAGGAATATACGGAGCAGTCTTCCAAGTGTCTCCATTTGCACAGTCATGGGCACTCAGTCTTCTATGGTAGAGCAGCAGCCACACTGTCTTCCACTAGATAGCAGAAGTCATCTGGTCCTTTATGGCACAGCCGTAGTCAGTCACTAGTCAATGTAGTCGTCTACAACATAGCAGCAGTCACATTCTATAACATAGTAATCCCCTTTTCAGAAAATAAAGTGTGCATGGCAGGAAAGGTATGTCACTACACACCAGGCCCCTTAACACTGTACTCGCATACACCTAAGCCATACCCAGATTTCACCATTGCACAAAAGCTTGGTGTGCCTATTTTATGTATTGCAACATTGAGTGGAATGAAAGAACACCTAACTATCATGAGAGGAAAACCCCGCCACCATGTGGAAGGTTGGGAGCAGCCAGATGCCCCTAGAACAACTTTGATTTGAGCATTTAAACTAAGTGACTAGTGCACATTCAGGAGTCTTTATACACACACACACCACACACACAGACACTATTTGCAGCAGTATGGCTGCACATTCTCAGGCTACAACCAAACTCATTATGCAAGAAGGATGCCAGATCTGCTCTGATACGAAAATCTTTAATAGTCTAGTAACAAATCTATACAATGTAGATTTTTTTAAACACACAAAAAATATATATTGGGGGGAATGTATCAAAACTGGAGCAAACAGAATCTGGAGCAGTTGCCCATAGTAACCAATCAGCATCTCTCTTCGGTTTGCTCAGGTAAGATTTGAAAATGAGAGAGAGAAGCTGATTGGCTGCAATGCAAATCTGCTCCACATTTTGTCTGCACTAGTTTTGATAAATTCCCCCCATCATATTTTATGACAATCCTAGCTTCATAGTATTCCACAAAAAGGAATGTTTGAATCAGGTCCGCAACCTTCAAGACTGGGCCTGAGTAACTATTCTGTCCTCATGGTTACAACAGCCTCCATACCAAAGTCCTGAGCATCTATGGAATTAGGACAGCATTCAATGATGTTTTATTCATGCTTGAATAAAGATTGGTTGTTTTTTTCCCAGGACACTGTATGTACTGTATAGTTTTCTTTTTACTTATTTTGCTCTGACATATACTTTAAAGCCCATTTCCACTTTTGTAGAGGTATTTTTCAAAAACATATGCCAGCAATGTACACTAAGCGTACATGAAGCAGGCATATGAACTTAAATTTTTTCTTAGCTTTACTCTTCATATTCTCATGGAAATCGCTGCCTCCGTGCAGTGCAAGCAATGTATGTATTTCTTCTCCCCCCTCCTGACAGTGTATTGTGCGTAAAGGCAGAGTTGGTGTTTACTGATCATGTTACAATGGGTGACAGGGAGGGGGGCAGCTGATTACAGTCTGGCATCCTGGTGTTAGACTGAGTTTCCTGTAAAGAAAATTTTGACATTTTAGGCTTCAAGGCTAAAAAAACCTTCAATAAGAAAATGAAGAAAGTCTGCAATGTGAGTCATGAAAATGTGCACTTATGTACATCATCACTGCACCTCTTCATTACCACAATAAATGCTAATCACTAACAAAAGGTGGAAATGGACTTTAAATTGAAATTTTAGCCAATATTTATTAAAAAACCGTAACCCTGGACTTACCCCCAATGCTAAAGTGATCGTTTTAAAAACATACTTACCTTGTCAGTGCTAATAGTATAATGCCTTCCTATACTAGGGTCAGTGTCAAAACTACAAAGACCCTGCACCAAAATGAAGAAACAACAAGACGCACTGAAGCCAAGCAGTTTGAAATTTTTTCACATTTTAAGAGCGCTTCTATTTAAATTTCTGATCCACGTGCTCTTTGAGTTGGCTCTTCTGAGGCTCAAACACATCATAAAATATCTGGTCTTCCTTAGAGTGCTCTCGGATGTATAACAGGTCCTCCACTGAATAGACATCGTCTTTTCCAGCCCAGACAGTCAAGCTGTACCTGCAATGAGCCATTGTTATTGATTATCAGTCTCTATGCTGAGGATGAGTCGACAAGTGAACAGTATTATGACTTGCTTCTAAAAATATCCATTGTTCAATAGGCTTCATCTAGAATGCAGTAAGCACCATAATTACAGATTAGTGTTTCCTACACAGGTACAGAACAAATCGGTTCAGTGACACAAAGCAGCCTGGCAAAGGCCAAGCTGTCATACATTCAAACAAGAGGATGCAGAGATTTTTCGAAGTCTTAGCGATCTTTTTATTTTCACGTTTAAAATTATTTATCAGTAAAAAAGCTCAGAAGCAAAGAAGACAAGGCCACACCTAAACATGCATAACTAGCCTTGTCTATTGTGTCAACTGAATAGCATGTTCTTTACGCTGAACTCTGGCCAAAAAACTAGTTTCTTCATTGTTACACCAAAATGTGGTTACAAAATATGTGATTACTTGCACCAAGTGTAATGTTCAATATGTTATGTAGCAAGCAAGTTGCGCTCGGTCTTAAGTGGATGTGGATTCCAAAAGTAAAAAAGGACAAACATCAATAAGTGAATTATCAAAAAATGTGATCAAGTTTACACATGCAAGATTTTTGGACCCACTGGTCACTTATATTAGGATCGCAATTAAGTATTTTTTGTTATATTTGTTTAAATACAGAGGGTCTCTGGACTATAGTGTTCGAGCCCGGTACGTCTGTCACATATACATTTACTGATACACCGGGATGTGTCTGAATCTATTACCTATTCATCACATGCCGTAATAATGATTTTCGACATCTATACATTGTTTATGGTTCCCTTTTCAACTGAGAGATCGTTTCACATTTTTTGATAATTCACTTATTGATGTTTGTCCTTTTTTACTTTTGGAGTCCACATCCACTTAAGACCGAGCGCAACTTGCTTGCTACATTAGATATTCAACCCTACACAGAGTTGCTGCTGGTCCTGTCATCTATTTAGACATCTAGTCCTAGCGCAGTGGTTCTCGAACCAATGTTCAATATGTTGTTCGAGAAGACCCATGAGAATTAGGAGAGCTGAACACTACTGTGCAGGCCAAGGTACCATCACCACCTGTCAAAGTAAAGTCTCTAGACATTTTATGACACCCATATAGGGGATAGGAGTTAATTAGGAGTTTTTTTATTGGCATTAAAACGGTGAATAAATCTTAGTGAAGAGGCGACCTTCATCATCTTTGTCAAAGATTTCTGGAATTTTACTTAACAAGCTAGGATGTCATTAGGACTTCATGATAGGTTGGAGATTGATCTCTACATAAAGGGGATGATTTAAAAAGCATCTGACCAGCCATACGCCTATGCTCCTCGGCTACATCTAGTGGTGGGAATGCTGTGCGAATGGCATTCACCCATCATATGGCTAAGCAGATGATTTATAAATCACCCCCATAGTGTTTACTTCCATCTGTCAAATCCACAATCTGCACTGCGAGATAAAAAAAAAAGTATTTAACCTATGGCACTAACAAATATAAAATAAATGATATAAAATAAAAAGGTCAATAGAGTACAATATGTTCATTCAATTAATTCATCCCAAAGTGCTCTGAAGAAATCACAAGGCAAAAAAGAAGCATGATTTATTGTGTTCAATCGAATAAAAAAGTAGCATCAGGTCTATTAAAAGGTAAAAAACACTTTCTTCCACCACCAGTGACCTTCCCAATAGAAAACTAACCAAATTGATGTGTCCAGTTAAAGAGGAACTTTACCCATACCTGACTAGGACATGTGACCATGCACATCATATCAGGGGAGGAAAATGCCTTTCCCTGAGATCTCATGAGAGTGCAGATGAGATTTCCCAGCAATGCACTGCTGATTTTAACAGGATGCAATGTTTGGGCACGATTACATCCCTAAAGCCCAAGAGAACCAGTAAGTAGAAAACCAATGTTTGTAAGTTAAAGAAAAATATGTTTTTTTAACTAGTGAATGTAAGATGATTTCATATCAGCATGCAGAGCTGCATGCTGAAGTGGTTTTTAGTTAAAGGGTTTCCGCTTTAAGGTAACATGGTAAAAATGTTTTAAATCAACTTCTCCTTTAAGCATCTCTGTTCACAGGCTCAGGTACAGCAGCATGGAGACCTACTGCAGTTAAATAATACAAGTAGGTCCTGACTCTTCCCCCAGCCGGTGATTGGATAAGGAAGGAGAGGCCACCTCCTTTTGGCATGTCCCTTGTTAGCACATGCAATCTGGTACTCATACTGCTTCTTCCTTTCAGAGTCTAAGCTGTGTACCTGCATTATAATTTTTTTAAATCTGCCTGGCATTCAGTGTTAAATGCGGCAAAACAAAAACAAATGAACCGGATAGTGGTACCAGCAATCCTTATAGCCACAGTATACGGAAATCGCAAAGTAATTTGTTTATGAGGTCATAATACACAAATCGTAACCTTAAAAAAAATTATTAACTGAACATAATTACCTGTCTGAGGTCTGCAACAGCCACTGCAGCTGAGGCCATGACTGTCTCACCAGTGCCGCCCTCACTGCAAAAGTCACTTGTTGGCTCAAAGTATTACATATCTCTGCCATTTCTTTCACCATTTCCCAGCTGTAACCTGTAAAACAAACACATTTTATTGAACAATTTTAAATGATCATCAATAGCTCCATTTCCTGCCACAAAGGTTGGTCATGATCATAATTTGAGAGACAAAAAACAAAAAAGGAGCGCTTAATAGTGTAAAACCAATTTTAATGATAAAAACGCACAACTGTATTGAACTTAAAAGGCATGTAGAAAACAATGGGATGTCAAATCATCTGGCAGCGGAAGTCTGAAAAGATGTGCAGCATCAGCGCCCACTGCCCCTGTGTGGTCTAGGTTTACATGTTTATGGGCCACGCCCACTGGGGCACCATGTAAACCGAGACCACACAGGGTCAGTGGACGCTGATGCTGCACATCTTTTCAGACTTCAGCTTTTGATGATTTGACATCCCATTGTTTTCTACATGCCTTTTAAGTACAATACAGTTGTGCGTTTTTATCATTAAAATTCGTTTTACACTATGGAGGCGCTCCTTTTTGTGGTCTCTCAGATTGAAGGTCCTTTAACCTGTGGGAGCTGCCTCTTCAGTGTGTTCGTTACCATTGCAACTGGCCGATATTGCACGTGGAGGCGCCGGTATTGTTTCCTGTCACATGATCATAATTTATTTACACTTATCAGTACACGTATCTAGTAAAAAGCCACTCAGAAGCATTCATCATTCCTTAAATGATCAGGTGAATCCACATCCAGGCAATCAGCCCGAGGCAGCCCTTCACAAGGTCTGTGACTGGGATGTAAAAAATGATCAGCTATAATGGCGTAGGGAGGCTTAGAGATGCACATTGCAAATATAGGAAGCACTTTCTACATTAGAATTCTATCATCCAGGTGAATAATGTAGGCATTGCATCATTCATTGTATTAAAGTGCAAATTCATGTAAATCATATTACATAAAGTGTATCAACAGGCACTTCCTCTCATAGGGTGACAACACTTATGCTCAGCTTCAGCATTGCCTTTCCTCTGCACTCCTGAGTTGAACTACATTCAGCCCAGCTGACATACAGTTGACTGCCAAATTCCTTACAAAAGAAGAACCTGATGTCTTGGAGTTTGAACATATCCACAGGAGGTTTATACAAAAGGGTCCACAGAAATGGAAGAGAAAACATACAGAGTAAAGAATTAACTTTATAAGAACATAAAATAATTCAATCCCGTTTTATTTACAGTGTAACTAAGTATCCTTCTGTGACAGCCAGGGGTCAAACAACTTTCACCCAATATTCACAGATTTCTAATGAAATGAATGTATTACATATTCTTACATTATTCTAAATTATAAAAAGGCCCATAAGTAATATACGTAAAATGGTTCTGTACTTTGTGATAGACGCAGGGAAACCCCCACAATTCTCCCACACACAAACAAAAAAAGAAAAAATGACCTGTCCCCCAACTAGTTTACCCCTTACTTCCCAGTCTAGTAAGAAGTTCACATTCCCAGGAGCACAGTAAAACTTTGTGTGAAAAATCAAGATTTATCAAAAGGAAATGCCCTTTACTGGCAACAGGTGAGGGTTCATCTGGGTTGGGGGATTGCTTTTTCCATATATTAACACGGCAGTGCTGTAGTAAATATAATTTTCTCCATTTTTAATAGATGTGCTTTATTGCAAAGAGAAAAAAAAAAAACTTACCATAAACTGTCTAAAGAGGAGATACATTCCTGTGCAGTGTTACTTTACATATCAGGTGAATTTAGCTAAACCCCTGTAACTACCATGGAGAGTTAGGGTTGATAGATATATTTTCATATTCAGCAAGAAAAAGGATTGGAGCTTACAATGAAACAAAAATCCAGTTTGTTACTATGAATAACATAGTACTATATGTAATAGGCATCCGATTGTACTGAAATTGTATTGTAACTGTACTGTCTCCCCCATTTTGTAAAGCGCTGTGTAAACTGTTGGCACTATATCAATCCTGTATAATAATACAATAATATGTACTATGCATAACATAGTAGTAGTATGAAGTGTGAATTATTATCAGGAGATTTTGGTCAATACACAGCCCAAGATTATCTCCAGGGGAGACATTATCCTACAAGACATTTTGGTTTTATAAACAAATATCATTAAAATATTTGGTTTGTCAGTGAGATGCAGATGGAAAATACATGCTGTTGCTATTAAACCTAATACTGTTTTACGTTACTGGAAATGCGATGGAACTGGATATTTTTAATCCTATAATACCAGCACTGTAGTCAATTTATTAGACTGTAGCTGAGATTTACAGTATGTAGGATGAATAAAGAGACCCCTGCATAAAGGCCTTGTAGAGAACATTAGTAACATTATAAAGGGTCTGAAAACACACAGTGGGCTGCAAAGCTATAGAAGAGAACCCCATTGTGATTCTACAATGTTTTTAGGATTATTGTATAAAATTGCATTGTTGAGGGGAAGGTTATATTGTATACACTTTCCAAACAAAGATGAAAGCATACATTAGGTAAAAAAGACCCCTTGTAACATAACCTGTCATTTATGGATTATCTTATTTTAACTGTGTTTATCATTTGCTTGCAAAGGAGAGCCTGTTCTTTGACTGGAATGAATTTGGAAGTATGTATCAGTGCAGCAGCAGTAAAAGGGCACACCAGTGGAGTTGTGGCGAGTGCAAAAGTGTACATTGTGCAATGGTAGCAAATGAGTAAGCGTGTGTCAGTGCAGTGGCATCATGAAAATAAGTGTGCATCACTGCTGTGGTGGCAAGGGAATTAGTATGTGTTGGTGCAGCGGTAAAGAGTGAATTGGTGCACAACGTTGCATTGGCGGTAAGTACAGAAATGTGCGTCAGCCCATTGGAGGCGAGTACAGAAGTGTGTGTCAGTGCACATAAACTTATGAAGCACACAAAGAAAATAGGTGTCTACAGAGAGGACCTGTCACCTGGCACACTCATCGCTCTCCATCGAGTCAACAGCCATAGCAGAGCTGTTCCATTATGTACATTGCCCAAATGCCATATCATTGACTGGCATAGTCCTTCTAGCTCTATTGCAGGATGAAGACAACTCACAGGGCATGCAAGTAAGTGGCATCATTTCTCAGGACTCCTTGAAACTGCTCCTACCATGAATGTGCACTAATGGCATCATTTTGTGTTGCCCCATAGCAGCTACCATGCAGGCACGGTAGCAATACCATATTATTAAAAAAAACAGCACCATTTTTCTGTCCAAAGAGCACCTATCAAACATGCTACCTTTTTGCTGGGTAACTAAGCTGCAAATGCATGTTATTGAAGACCTGCCAAGCGTGTCCACCACACATGCACAGATATGACACTATAGCAGTGGTTCTCAACCTGTGGGTCGGGACCCCCTCGGGGGTCGAATTACGATTTGCCAGGGGTCGCCTAGTGGCTCTCGGCCGCCGGGAGAGAAACACTTTCTCCCGGAAAGGTCGGGACCTTTCTCTGCTCTGTTTTGTTTTTTTTAAATCGGGGGCCGCCGTAAGTCAGAAAAAAAAAACCCACCATAGGAATGAATAGCTAGATTCCTATTGGCTATTTCACTTTGCAAAAGCCAATAGCAAACTAGCTATTGCACCCGCCTTGCCAATCAGCAGAGGGTGACCTGAAGTTCTCCATCAGGTCCCCTTCTAGTGATTGACAGCAGCAGAGGGCGGGTGCAATATGTATGTATTCAAGCAATGTCTCAGTGCCTGTGATTGGCTCTGCGCGCTGCCAGCTTCCTGGCGGGCTCGGCATGTGGAGCTACGAACATGCCCGAGCCCATCCCCATCAGTGACAGTACTACGGAGTATGTACCTCATACGTTATATAGCCACACACTTTAAATCCAATTCTTCTAGTTCCAGCTGCAGAGCCCGGTCCTGTCTTTGCCTATAGCAGTGGTTCTCAACCTGTGGGTCGCTGTGCAAGGCGAGAGTCCTCCTCTGCTCTCTCCTAGCGCAGCAGTGTCAGTTCTCCCGCCACGCCGCCAGATGTCGCTGCAGCAGCCGCGTCATCCCTAAATTTTACCTTTGGGGGTCACCACAACTCTGCAAATGTTACCAAGGGGTCCCGGCCCTAGAAAGAGAACCACTGCACTATACCATTGTTTTAGCACAGACATTGTTTTCTCCATAAATCCTCTACAGGGTCCACAAATGGCGCATGCCTGATGCCAGCCCCATCGTGATGGAGTTAGTTCCCTCAAAATTAAAGTTGAAATTGAAAAGTATCAAAGACACAAATTAATGAAGCTCCGTACATCTTAATACAATAATAAATGTTTTTTTTATTAAAATGCGAACAATGTAAGCACCTAAAATTAACCTGGTATGAGCCTCTTACATTCTCCTGTATAGCAAAGCTCAGGAAGGGGAGAATAGGCATAAGGATGCTGATACTGTAGGTGGAGATAGCAGATTGACAGACAAATAAGCCCATCGGGATGGGTTGGCAGTGACTGATAAGCGTTGCACTGTGCTGGAAGAGCTGACTGATCAGCGGTCATGTGATTGATCAGCTCTTGGTATAGAGCCAGCGTGTGACAGCTGCAGTGTGTTAGGTCTTGCCACAGCACTGCTAGAAGAAAAGCCAGTTAATAGAGTTTAACCGTATTGTCTGTTATCAACACTACTAAATATCTGGGAAATAAGATGTATTATTATTATATATAATTTTATGTCATTTCCTCTAACCAGATTAACTCCATTGAACTGTTTTACTGTAAACACTGAAGCTGTGAAGTGATGTCCTTGGGGCTCTGACGCAAAACCCACAAATAGAAAGTACTAAACGATAACGTTTGGCAACAAGTATAAATGCATTTAAAGTGGAAATCTATTCATTTTAAGGGAGTTATAGACAGTGGGGAAAGGTTGGAACCTTTTCAGCTTCTTTTGATGTATATGCCCCTGGTGGAGTTTGGGGCACAGATAGAAATAACCGTGATCACTACTGACGCAAAAGGCAGTGGGGAGGGTTTTTGTTCCCCATGGTCCCTGTGTGTGTTGTAAAGTAGCCACCGCTCCAAGCTCACTGCTGTGATAGACTATAATTTCAATACAAATTAGCAAACAAAACATGTGATTGTAGTCCATCACGGGAGTGAGCTTGGAGCGGTGGCTACTTTACAGCACACACAGGAACCATGGGGAACAAAAGCAGCCACCCTCCAGAAGGAAGGACAGTGTCAGCACCAATTCAGAAATGATTTGAGGATCTACAGCTCAGTAACACACAAATAAGATACATTTTTGTTAATAGTTAGGGTACTTCAATGCATTTTTAAGGTTACCGTATATACTCGAGTATAAGCCGAGTTTTTCAGCCCATTTTTTGTGCTGAAAAATGCCCCCCTCGGCTTATACTCGAGTCAATATTTTTTCCCAGTTTTTTGTGGTAAAATTAGGTACCTCGGCTTATATTCGGGTCGGCTTATTCTCGAGTATATACGGTAACTGAGTTTAGTGTCAAAAAAGAAAAGAAGTGCAGCCAAATCCCGACCATAATCCTGTGCCAGTTGTAGGAGATTTCTTCACAGCTAAAGAAGGCAAACTAGTTTCTTCAACATTGGTTCTGATCAACCAATTGGAAATAAGCGGAAGTGGAGAGAACTTTTATCAACGTACATGTTTTTACCACATTTTACTATTATTGCAATAATGCATTAAAGTAAAAATATGTTAATATATCTCTGACCATGTTTATTTGAAGTTACAGAAGGTAACAGAAACCATGATACAGGAGCCATACCTTTGCTGCAGATATAATTCCTCCAGGATTCTATGGCCATCAGTGACTTCATTAAAGGCATTCAGGGGCATGTAATCAGCCAATCTGAAGTCTGATCCTGCCCTTCATGAATGATGAGACCAAATGCCTAGGCATGTGTTCATGTGACTGGGCCATCATGGGATTGTAAAGTAGTAGTGAAGGCAAGTAATTAAATTTAAGGGTGGGCAGCATAATGGCGAATTCTTATTTCATACTTTAAAGCCTGAACTGTGAAGAAAGTGTTCTTCATCTAAAAATGATTAGCGGTCTACTGTAGTTCAGAATGGCTCCTGTATCTGATTATTATTGCAGGGCTGATAGGAAATTAAAATGAAGTGAATACAAAAACTCTTTCAGTCAAAACATTTCTTTAATGTTTGGATAGAGTAGGCAGGGGATAGAACCTCCGTCAAGTTGTTATTGCTGCCTGAGTTTCTGTTTTCTAAATGTTTTCTCACTTCCTGTTTCATTGGCTGCAGAGGAAGAAGAGGGTAAGCACCCAAAAAGACACAAACAGCTAAAAAAGTGCTGAAGCTCTAGAAACACATAGAAATAACCATGATCATAATTTCAGAGAGATGTCACGATAACCACAAAAGGAGGTGAGGAGAAATCCCAAGGGTGCCACCGACAACAATAAAACTGTCACGATTTGGGAACCAGAGCACCAGGAATAGTAAACTCCGGGTCTTGGGGAGCAGTATATTGTGACCTAATTAGGAATATGAATGGATACCGGTCTCTGAAGATGCAGGGACAGTGTGACCGCACATCAAATGTAGAGACAGTGTGCCAGAGTCGCAGGATATAAGGAGCCGCCTGGTCCTCACCAAAGCCACTGATGGTGTGGATGTTGAGCTGCGAGGCAGCTCCCAGGTTGCAGCTCTCTGACACACCCATGCAGGCACAGTGCCAGCGGGTACTCAGGGACCACAGCACACTGGACAAGACACAAGGTGCATACAGGGTACAAGGTACAAAAAGAGGCACTAGAAGGAAGAGAACACACAACAGGTGTACCCACAGGTACAAGAGATACACAGGAAAGACAGGTGCAAGGGCTCACTGAAGGAGACAATTACCATCCACTAGTAGGACAAGCAGGATCTCAAACAAGGAATCACAGCTCACACTGTGAACATGTATCGCAGGGAATATGCACACAAGGGATGGTGCGAGTACAGGGCTAGGAAACAGAGATGTGCTTTCACTTGTGTGAGTAGACGACCATAGGAAATTAAGTACGCAAAAACAGAACGCAAAAACAGATATAAGCATTTGGTCAGAGAGCTTCATTAATACGTATATTGGCAAGTAAATATGTATATTATTTCTCTCTGGAACAAACATTCTCTGAATTCAGTAAGAGGTGAGTCACTCATTGATAATAACACAGAAAAATTTACATAACACAGAACTACCGGCACTCTAGGTGATATGCACAGGGGAAGACTCAAACAGAAATACACTGAAAGCTGTGCAATGGGAGAAATGCGTACCACGGCCACGGATGCACCAGATGCCGTGCACAAGGATAGCACTGGGGGAATGTACCAAGTACAGGCACATGAAAGAGAGCACTGAGATGGAGGGAGGAAACGTACAAACAAGGTAGAAGACCAGCACTCAAGAACTACAATAAATGGGAACACAAGAACCAAAGAACCAAGCAAAAGGGGAAATAGCCAACAGTGAGTTTGCAGTCACAGGAGAATGAGCACAAAGCAGGGATCCAAAAAGGTATACAAGCACAGGAGATCAGGGGAAACACAAGGGGTCCGACACAAGAAATAAGACTTGTTACTCGAATGAAAAGCAACAAGTGAGATAGTGCTAAATAGGGGAGGAGGTGTGCAGACTGGCTGCAGCCCTGTGAAAAACCATAGGCTGACAGCCAAGCACCAGGGACCAACATGGATTGGCGGACATTGTGACAAAAACCCTGACTCATTCAATTTAAAACTAAAAGTTTTATCTGGAGTTGGACTTTAAGTGATGGAAGGGTACTCTGTAAAACACATAAAACGGGTACAAATAAAAAAGCACTGAGCTCCAACATCAATATTAAGCCAAACAATCTGTTAAGAATGTTTTTCCGGTGTTTGTTCTCTCTACTAAGAAAAGGTGATGTTCATGAACAAAAATGTTAAACATCACAGTGATGTCAATGGCTATATATATATAGCAAAGTACTTAATTTCCTATGGACGTCTACTCACACAAGTGAAAGCACATTTGTCCTTCAGAAGATAACAGGTTTTACGTCTGTGCCAACATCATGAACACCAGTCTCAACCTCTTCTGCTATTCACATCAAGGACGTTCTTTGTCCAGAACGCAAAAACAGATATAAGCATTTGGTCAGAGAGCTTCATTAATACGTATATTGGCAAGTAAATATGTATATTATTTCTCTCTGGAACAAACATTCTCTGAATTCAGTAAGAGGTGAGTCACTCATTGATAATAATAATGCTCAGGGTCAAATCCAGTTATGTACCATGTACCAAAAGTGACAAACCAACAGGAAACGAACAGACTCAATATTAGGGACACTATTTATAAATTGTTACCTTGTCGTGGCTTAACTTAAAGTCCATTTGCTGTTGTAAACACATTAAATAAAGGAAAAAAATAACAACACATTTAACTAAAAAGAGATAGATTTGTCATGTAAAAGACAACTTTTGATTGGGGGGTTCCATGGCAAGCCCTGTAATGGTGGCCAAGCACAGAATGCGAAGTAAACGAACAGCTTATTTTATTTACCAATTTTAAAAGCCAAATTATTATTTATTTTTTTTAGTTTTGCGTAGAGTAGGGAATGGTTAATAAACCTGTGAGGTTTTCTTTTTGCTGTCTGTATCCCATTGTGGAGATTTCCACATCTCCAAAGACACAACATAAAAGGGAGAGAACAAAATAAGGGAATTCCCATCTTAGATGAGTGCCCCAGAACAGGTATCCCAACAGGAAGATTTCACCACAACTCCTGTTCTGGTCCCAACAGGAAGATTTCACCACAACTCCTGTTCTGGTAACCTTTTGGATTTCCCACACTCAAAAAGAAAAGGAAAAGGGGTGAATCTCCCAAAACCACAAATCAATATAAACAGGTCTGGGGGTTTTAACACTTCCATACTCTACTCAAGAGAAGACTTGTTGACATTGCTTAAGAACCCGAAAAACCCTTTCAATGCACACAGACAACTTTCTAGTGTGGACAGTGTTATCAGCCTTTAGCATATTTACTGAAGGAAAAACAAGTAGAGAAATTATACAACAAGCCTTATGAAATTGTACATATAAACTGCACTCCATGAACATTTGTGCACTCACTGCCACTACACGACACGCACTTCTGCATTTGCCACCACTGGACTAACTTAAATATTCATCCCATTCCAAGGAAATGGCACACTGTTGTTAGAGATTATATAGTATCTAGATCTATGGTCCCTTGATACTTAATGGTGGCTATTTAAACCTAAATAAGCACATTTTATATTTAATGCACTAGCAACAAAACACATGTAACGCTCGGGTTCATGGTAGTCTAGATTATACCTTCATTTTTTTGGCCTGGTAGCCATCCAGTAGTCCAACCCAACGACAATGTCACATCTGGGAAAAATGATGACACAGTCTGGAGGAATTCTCCAGCATCTACTGGCTTGGCACTTCCCCCAGGACCTGTCAGTATGTCAGCATTTATCCATACAGGCTGCTTAATATTATTCTTCAACATATCCAGGATTTTCATTGATGGTAACACCGCTTCCAAACTGAAAAGAAAAAAAATCCAATATCAGAATGGATTCATATACATGGGGGAAAATTTATCAAAACTTGAGCAGTCAGAATCTGGAGCAGTTGCCCACGGCAACCAATCAGCATCTCAGTCTACGCTACACTCATTCAAAATACTCTTATTCTGCCTACTATGTTAGATTGTTACAGCCTGGCCTTTTGCTAGTTAATTGACAGCGACAACTGGATCTAGATATATCTCTTACATTTTATACCTATACGTCCTCATTTATCTATCTTGCATATGTTATGTTTATGCTGTAAAATTTTGATTTATAAATAAAGAATTAAAAAAAAAATAATAAAAAAATGATAATAGGACAAAACTAAAGATTTCTTTTAAAAGCCCTGCCTTACTACCCGTTTCCCTCTTCCATGGGAGAGGTGGTAAAAAGTATCTCCCGCAACTTCTGTACCAGACAGTGGAGATTCCCCCTTACCCTGAAGCCCTAGCAGTGGAGGCAGGATGGAAATTGTTGAAGGCAAAAGGGTTACCACACAGTTTCCAAGAAGCTTGTTTGTGCAGAGTTCCACACAGGTCATAGAAGGCTATCGGAAACCTGCTCATTATAGTCAGGTGATTGACAGAGGTAGGACTCCCAGAAGGGAAGCAATGCTTTAAGTGAGGCAGCCAAGTAAAAGACCTGTCCGATTAGATGAAGAGGATCAGTACTCAGATTTAGGGTGTCATCAGGAAAGATGAACCACATAAAAGGGGGTTCATGGTATAGTGGCTCAGTCTTTAAAAATTAAATTAGAAATTGGAAAAGTGCTATTCGTAAAGTATATGTCAATAGCTGCCTACAGGTAATTCTGCCTTGTATTTTACAATTTTCTGGCTTGCTTTTAATAACACTAGAGCTGCAACAGTTAATCGATTAAGTCGATTAAAATCGACGATTGAAAACGTTGGCAACGTTTTCGATCGTCGATTCGTCGGCTATCGATTGCTTAGCCTGTTCGGGGCTCCGCACACGGCCTGAGTCGCACGTCACACGCTGCTCCCGACGTGCCCACCGCACAGGCCGCCGCCACCGCATAAGCCACGCCCACCGAACAGGCCGAAGCCGCGCACGCTGCTGGTCTCCTAGCCGTGAGCTCTCTCACCCGCCGCGAGCTGCCTCACGCGCCGCATAAGTCATGCCGGCCGCTGGTCTCCTCCTAGCCGTGAGCTCCCTCAGTCGCCGCAAAAGCCATGTCCACCGCTGGTCTCCTCCTCGCCGTGAGCTCCCTCACCCGCCGCTGGCCTGCAGACAATTGAGGGCCCACCTTCTAAAAGTAAG